CTGCTACCCCTGCATCTAATGATCTGGTGACCTGATCATAAAAAGCCACCAGGTTGGTCTGACAGGACCTGCCACTGATGAACCCGTGCTGATTGACCCTAAGCATGCAGTCCCCTGCTGGCCCCTCCTGGATGTGTGCCAGAATAATTTTCTTGAACAGCTTGCCTAGGATCGAGGTAAGACTAACTGGCCTATAGTTTCCCAGGTCCTCCTTCCTCCCTTTTTTGAAGATGGGAACCACGCTGGCCCTCTTCCAGTCCTCTGGCACCACTCCAGAGCACCACGAGTGCTCGTAAAGCCGTGCCAGGGGACCTGCAATGACCTCGGCCAATTCCTTTAGAACTCTAGGGTGGAGATCGTCCGGACCAGCTGACTTGAATACGTCCAGTCCCTCTAGAAGCTCCCTAACTAATTCCTCGCTAACCCTTGGCCCAGGTGTGCCTCCCCCGGGGCCTGAGGGGGTGGCTGTTCTGGTCCCTACTTAGGAAGACAGAGGCAAAGAAATCGTTAAACAAGTTAGCTTTGTCGTCTGGTGTGACGACCAAATTTCCCAACACGTCCTGCAAGGGCCCCACATTACCCGGGACCTTCTTTTTGCCCCCTATGTAGTTAAAAAAGGACTTCTTACTACATCAGTGTGACGCAATACTTGGTATTTCATTTCTACTTTGCGTGTGTTAATAAATTGAAAACTTAGGGCAAATGGAGCCCTAATTTGGAAGCATTCTGGATCCAGGCAAAGTTCCATAGATGGCACTGAAGTAGGGACACACCTGAAGGGATCCATTTGCAGGTTCTAGCCTTTACAGAATTTTACCACAATCTCTTTAGTTCATTTTTTAATACTTAGTAACCCACAGAACTTTGTTTTTCAGTATGATTAAAAATGCCTCAAAATTAGGTTGTCAGTTGCCCTCAAGAATGACCCTTTATCTGAAGACTGAAAATTCTAATAGCTTCTAATTTAAAATTAGAAGCTTTTAAAATTCACATTTTTTATATGGCTGTAAAAGATTAAAAGACTTGTGGCATGTGTTAAATGCCATTATAGGTTAATACGCAAACCCAATGGATTTGAAGAATGGCATATAAAATCGATCGGTGTTAATGGAAAAAATGGGTTCTTTTCACTGATAACAAAATCATTACTCTCTTTTAGGAGCCGTATATTTGACATTGAATGAATGTCTTTGGGTATTGTTCTTTTTTTACATGTGCATACGTGTGTAGTGTGTGCTTGAATGAAGTTTTAACAATATGTAACACAAGGCCAGAACATGTTAGCTTAGATAGCTTGGCATTTGAATAGGTTTTGTTTAGATTTAGTAATAACAGCATTATATTGATAGTAATATGGTTAGTGTGTGTATTATAGGTAATCATTTGTATGTGTAATCAAGCTATGAACTTTATATTAAGGTTAGTAGTATAACTGAATGAATAAAGAGTGTATGGACTATTTGTTGTGCCTGTGTAAACAAAAGGAGGTTTCCTAAGGTGCTGAATATGCAAAATACCAGACAATGAACTGTTAGATGGATGGCTGAAGAACCAGTCTGTGACCAGGTGCAGAGGACAAAGGCTAGGTGACAGGGTTGAGGAGGAATTCTGCATGTCCTGCAGTTTAGCCTGAACAACTTTCAAGGCTGGAAGACTGACTTTTACGACAGGAGCGACCTCGAGCCAAGATAATGAAAAGAATGATGAGAAACAACATCTAGATATACACGTGCCTCGACTTTGGACAAAGATTTGAAATCCCTATAGAAGTGCAATCCAACAGTGCTGAGATGGGGAATTCACACTCTGCAACCTTTGCTGGAAAACAGATGCGTGTGTTCGCCCCCATTCCCATCATCTTCAGTGAACCTGGGCTGGCCACCCAGTGCCAACATTGAGCAAGCAAGCTGGTAATTATACATGTGCTTAGAGTGTGTTTGTCTGTGTGAATGATGTGTTTAGATGTCTTTGTGTGTTTTTGTTTTATGTAATCAAGAAACGCGACACTTTGCCCTCCCCCCCCCGCCTTATAAGGTCTCGCTCATGATTTGAGCAATTGGCAATTTGTGTAACGCATGCTTTTAACTTTTTTTTTTTAAATAAAGCCTCGCAGTGAGAGAGTTCCTTTGTTTGGATGATCCACCAGGTCCATTTGACAGCCTAGAAGAGAGTAGGGTAAGTGCTGTATAACATTTACTATAAGAATGACAAGAACAAAACATCTAAATATAGTACATCAATTGTGTGCCTTTTTTAAAGACTGTTTCATTCTAAACCTAATAATTTTTTGTCCTGTGAGAAACAAGATACCTGACTTGATGGACCTGTCATCTGACCCAGTATGGCATTTGTTCCCCTGCTGTTGATGCATGTATCCGTAAATGTATTCTTGTTGCTATGGGTCACTGCAGTATCCTAGCTGCTGGAAACAAATAAAGTGGGAATGAGGACAGTATTGGTGGCAGAGGTCTTGTTCTGAATACAATCAGTCATATAAAGAGTTACTGAAATTTTGGGTCATCATTGTGTAACAGTTTTCTTGCCTCACAGTTGCATCTATGTCTGTCACTGTAAAAGTTCCAGGTGGTCAAGATTTTTTTTTCACATCAGGCTGTTTACCCTTCCATTATTTTTCAAACTTACCGTATTTACTCAAATCCAAGATAAGGTGTCCCCCCAGCATGGGGAGCCCCTAGTCTTAGATTTGAGTACATGCAAGTGATGGGGTGGGGGTGCAGCTCAGACACCAACTCTGAGCCCGAGCCCTGGATTGGTGCTGGAGTCACACACTCCCTTCAAAAATTAGATTCTAGATATGGAAAAATTAACACACATAAATTTTCCATTTCTAACATCTAATTAATTGGGGGTCATCTTAAAGTCAGGGTGGTTTTGAGTTTGGGTAAATACAGCAGAGGGAGTTATCTGCAGATAATTCTAATATTATAAAAGCCTAAGTCTGTCTGTCTGTCCTTAATGCTTTATTCGCGCTCTGGTTGGCTGACAAACAGCCAAGCAGAGTGCAAAGAAGCGTTCTGACAGGAGGCAGCCTGCCGCCATGATGATGGAGATGCAAGGGACAGAATGGGGGAGGTGAGGCCAGTGCAGCTCAGGATGCCAGTGGACCGCCTCCCCCTCCACCCCCACTACCCTGCTGCCTGGAGGCAGCAGCGGCAGCAACAGAGCAGATGGAAGG